ACACTGTAAAGCGGTTGGTCGTTTTTTTGATCATTATTTTGAGATTCTTGGGATTCATTTGTAATTCCTTGAGTTGGTAAGCACATCGAAGTGGCAACAAATAATACCATAAAAATTATTCCAAAATTGAGAAAACGCATTTTGATTCACGATTTCAGCACTTGCGGCGTTTGAGCAATCGTTGGCACTTTATACTCTAATCAACTTTTGTTAACAAAACAATAACCTCAACTGACGCTTTATTGTGGTATTGTTAAGTGTTGGCTTACTGTGATTCACCACACGGAAAGTTTTGATCAAACAAAAGCTTAAGCAATTAATCGTGTTTTTATTGCAAATGTTAAAAAAAAAGCTTAAAAACTTGCTTGAGAACTCAATAACAATGCATTCTTGTTTTAAACTTGAAAGTTGTTTTTATTTTTGGTTTAAACTCACAGAGTGGTGAGTGTTGTGTGGTAAGTAAGTGGTGAATAAGAGTTGAGTACTTAGAAAAATCTTCAATATATACTATTTTGGAAAATTGATATATTCTTTTTATATATAAAACAATTCATATTATTATTCGAAATTAATTTTGAAATAAATTTATATTTGTTTAGCATATACGGTTATAATATATTCACCTTACAAAAAATATTTTTGGATATATAAGACTCAATATAACTAAGTGCCCAAAACGTATAATGCCGCTAGAACTATCGTTATAGGATAGTTTCTATTTTGCGGTGAAGATAAGATGGCTAGAGGATTCTCTACAGGGGCAATGAAATAGATTTTGTATTCGCGTTGTTCCCTTGTCCCTTGGATAACAGCAACGATTAATAATACCGTAATATTTGGTGCAATAAAAGGGCTTTTTACAAGAATATTTACAGGGACAACGGAGTGGATTTTGTGCCATTGTTCCTTTGAACAACTACCATAATCATTTATGGGGTGATATTTGGCTGTTTATGTGACTTTCTATATGAAAAATGAAAATAACTTCGTATTTTGTGATTTCTTATCCCAGCAATAATTTATTAATTAATTAATTTGGTACTTGCAGTCTCAAAAAATTATTTACGATTACTTAAATATAAGAAATAATGGCAATACCATTTATGAAGAGTATTTGGCAATACTCATAACAATTTCAAAAATTCAATTTATTAAGTAATATAAAATATTTTTGTTTGATGTAGTTCACTACTTTTCGAAACCTCTCCAACAATTATTAATAATAGAGTAATATTTGATATAATAAGACGGCTATTTAGAAGATACATTAAGACCGAAAAGTTTTCGGAAATTCTCATTTAAAATTCGCGCGCTGTATATTTTCCGATATTTTAAGTTTATGTAGTTTGGCAGCACTGTCCTTAATTACTATGCCAAAAATGAGCGCGATCTGTCAGACAGTTCGTTTACGGCAGCTGTTGAAACCAGTTCACCTCAGTAGGGCGTTGCGAAAAAAACAATGGAAAAAAATATTGAACAAAGAGTTTGCATCAAATTTTGTGTTTCGAACGAAATTTCGTGTGCAGAATCGTTGCGAATGCTACAAAAGGCTTATGGGGAATCAGTTTTATCGAAAACTCAAGTTTATGAGTGGTACAAAGCCTTCCAGGACGGTCGTACGACCGTCGAAGACATTTCGCAACGCACTACTGAGGTGAACTGGTTTCAACAGCTGCCGTAAACGAACTGTCTGACAGATCGAGCTCATTTTTGGCATAGTAATTAAGGACAGTGCTGCCAAACTACATAAACTTA